AGGAGCAAGTGAAAAAAATGGAAATATACTCTAAGTACCAATAAAAAGTTTTCCCTACCCAGCCTAAATTATGTCCTATAAAAGGTAAAAAAAAACTGTTTTAAAACGTATACGGTTCTTTTGTTACTAAATCAACATCTCAGTCCCAGATATAGACTCAAATGTTTGCACAGATGCTGAAGGAAACTAGAATTTATCATTTTCCTTAAACATCTAATGGTAGCAGCTAAACCCAAACTATGTCACCTAAAGGACCTATCCTTGTTTTAGAAACATTAACTCTAGCCCTAGGCGGTTTGGCTCACTGGATAGAGCGTCGGCCTGCAGACCGAAAGGTCCCAGGTTCAATTCCGGTCAAGGGCATGTACCTTGGTTGCGGGCACATCCCCAGTAGGGAGTGTGCAGGAGGCAGCTGGTCGATGTTTCTCTCTCTCTATCCCTCTCCCTTCCTCTCTGTAAAAAAATCAATAAAATATATTTAAAAAAAATAAAAAAGAAACATTAACTCTAGAGCTTATATCTGAGGCCTCCCCACCAGTGGGTATCATGCGAGGACAATCAGCTATTAGTGATATTACAGGTTACTATGTATTCAAAAGTCAGATTTTGGAAAAGGGTTTTAAACCTGTAAATTCCCAAGATGCGCATTCAAAACCTAGGCTGGCTCAAGTTCAGCTTCACAATGTGCTGTCTAGCAAGATTAGCCAACCAGGGGAAATCACAAATACTAGTGACTTACCAGAAATTCCAATTAACCAGATGTCCATTAGCCTTACTTGGTTCAACAGTTTACTCCTAACCAACCCACCCAACTCGATTTTGAAATATATAGGTCATCACTTATGATTCTTAGGGACTCGAGTCCATTGAAGCATTATCATTTAAGTCAATGAAAACAATGGACAACCTGACCTTTCCTCATGGGAATGCCCATAAGCACCTCTGGACACAATATACTTCCTGGTGTCCCATGGCCTAAATACAACCCTGCCCACCTTTTGTCTTAGTACACTCACTGTCCAGCTGCAAGACTCTAATTCATTAACAATCACATTTGACTGGCTTCAGACCATTTCTCCAGGCTCTAGGCTGGCCAAATCAGTCATGATAAATGACACCCCCACCCCAAGGTACCCTAGTGAGAATCAATACATCAATACAACAGTCTTTGCTTAGACTGTTCCCCTTCAACTGCCAACCTTGAAGTTACTTACTGGTTAGGAAAGTAGGCTTTCATTTAGAAACCCGAGGAAACAAATAGCAAGCTTCCAGTTATTTTGCAACAATTACCTTTATCTTTTGTCCTTCACTAATAGGGACCTATTTTACTGCCGGCCCTCCCCCCTCCACACACACACACACAAGCCAGACATGATAAACAAAAGCCAAGTTTATTTGTTCATTTCTTGCATTTGAAGTATTCCTCGATGACATCCTTTGCCTGAGACTCTTTGCCATAGTCCTAAAAAAAGTCATATGGGATTTTCATTTTAGTAACACTTAGAAATTCCAGCAAGCCATCAATACTAGTTACAGTAAAGCTTTAAAATTAGCTTGTGTCTTATGAAAATTTTTCATTAAAATTTCTTATAGCCATTTTCAGGGACCTTAACGACTTCAATGTCTTTAAGGCTCGTAACATGGCTTTACTATTGCCAGCCTTCTCTAAATTTCTGCAGAACACATTCAGGTAAGCAGACTTATTGGCTGGCTTGCATTATGGACTATTTTTACTTTTTTTGTAAAAGGCAGAAAACATACCGTAAACCAGCACAACCTTCATCCCACAGATAGATACAGACTTACCTTAACCACCACGCAACTGCAACCAACCACTTTACGGGGTTTTCCCTCTCTGTCGATTTTACAGAGGCCTACCCATTCCCCTAGTTTCTTGTTGTCGTCAACCTATTTGGGGGGAATTTAAAATATCACAATATTAGTGGGCATTAATGCTGCTGTACCTACAATAAATCAAACCCAAAAGGTACTGTAGTCAGATAGGGTGACAGGCAGTTTCCTCACACCAATTCAGTAGAGGGAGCCAGTTGTCATCATGTACAGCACCAAGATCACTACAGGCATTGTTTTGTTCCATACCAACATCAAAATTAGCATTTAGTACTGCAGGAATAATAGTTGCTTCTATAACCACCTTTGACATAGCCAACATCAAGTGTATGGGATGATTTTCATATCTGCAGGAAGCATTAAGCTGGACACCACAAAATTTGCTGTGGTGTGACAAAAACCACTACAGATAGCATTATTCCTAACGTGTTGGTCCAACTTTCTTTGAGCAAAAGTATCTCTTAACAGTTGAGGTAAATCAAATTAGATAGGTAATGTACCTTAATTAGGTTGATTTGGTGTTCAGCACAAAGAGCCTCCACCAACTTGACGTACATAGGCTCATCACAGTTGGATGCAAGTACACAAAGGTGGGCTTGGCGCCTGAAATGCAAAATACAACAATTAAAGCTAAAATTCAGATCTACATCCACTACAATTGCACTTTATAAGGGAGTTGTCTGCACTGGCTACAATGGCAAAACAAAAGCAGCATATGCATTGGTGATAACTGCTTTAGTTTGATGAGCCTGTTATAGGTTACACATCATTCATTCAATTCACCTACAGAAACCTCAAGTGTTCAGTAACCCCGAAAACGAACAAATTTATGCAGGGGAACTGTTTACTAATCTGTGGTGAAAACAGAAGCATACAGACATATGCAAAGATGCTCAAAGTCAGTAATCATCAGAGATGCAAATTAAAACCACAATGAGGTTATCACCTTACACCTGTCAGAATGGCTATCAGCAAACAGACAAGCAAGTGCTGGCCAAGATGTGGAGAAATGGGAACTCTCCTGCACTTTCGGTGGGAATGCAGATTGGTGTAGGCGCTGTGGAAAACAGTATGGAGGTACCTCAAAACATTAAAAAATGGAACCTTATGACCCAAGTTTTCCACTTCTGGGGGTATATCTGAAAAAATTCAAAACACTTCATTCCAAAGAATGTATGCACCCCTATGTTCACTGCGGAGTTATTCACAATAGCCAAGATTTGGAAGCAGCCCAGGTGCCCATCAGTAGATTGAGTGAATAAAAAAGCCGAGATACACTTACACACTACTTGGCCATAAAAGGGGAAATCTTACCCATCAAGACTGTGTAAGCCAAAGACAAATGCCATGCATATGTGAAATCGAATGAATAAAAAATAAACTAACAAAGAAGAAACCAGCATGGATCCATGAAACTGACAGGAGAGGGGGGCTGGGGGAGCAAAGATGAAGGGATTAAGCAAAAACACACACAAAAAAATCCAGAAAACAGTATGGCGATTACCAGAGGGAAGGAGGGAGGTAGAAAAGGGTAAGGGGGGATAAATGGCGATGGAAGGAGACTGGGGGTGGGGGGTTAACAACGGGACACAATACATACAATACAGATGCTGTATAGTGTTGTACACCTGAAATCTATGACTTTAACCAATGTCACCCTAATAAATTCAATAAAATTAAACAACAACAACAGATACACAAAGACTGTTACATGCAACAAACTACTAGATCAGCGCTGTTGTCTGCTGTTACTGGCCCAGAATCCTGCAGCTCCGCCAAGACAAGCAGTGCAGGGATTCACACCAAGACCAGAGAAGTGTTTCCACCTGTTATTGGACAGATTTAAATATACCTGTCTTAGACCCTTATATTTCCCAATAGTTAACACATGCAGTTTTTCCAGTGTAACCAGCCCTGAAACTAAGCTGAATATATATGAACAATTCTATATTCACGTTTCTGAAACAGCTACTCCACTTACTACATTCATGTACAAGTCCAGATGCTTCTGCAACTTATTTGCCATCTCATCAGGGTGGGTTGGTTTAACTTTAAGAAACCAAGTGAAAGTTTATCTGTCCTGTAACGTGAAATTAGCCCCACAACTACAGGTTTGTCAGACTGTTAGGTTTCACTCATGAAAGGAGTGAAGGGGTATCCGACAATTTAAGTCATCATTCAAAACTGTAGTTTCACTTTACGAACCAAGTGTTCATCCCCACTCCACACAGAAACCCAGACTAAGTGGGCCATGTAAACGTGAGTTTGGTACCTTTTCCTAGGTTTCCTGTGGAACGGATGCCATTCAGAACTTTTGTGCTAACACCGTGAACTCCACGCTTTCTTCCCTCGGCTGCAGTTTTGTTCCAGTTCCAACCCACAGTATTGAGACTGAGACACGTACTTGTCTAAGGCTTTGGCAGCTTCGCGAATTCCACGCGCGAGGCCATCGTGGATGAGGGCGGTCTTCAGCACCTCTTGCAAAGCAGTATTAACGTCCATTACACCTCCAGCAGCAATGCTGCAATGCAACAAACCAAGACGGTTAGTCAATTCCCCGCACACCGCCTAACGCCTGGGACTCAGCAGTGACCGGCCAGGCACGCGTAAGGCGCCAGGACGGACCCAGAGCCCGCGCCGCGGGCCCGCGACCTGCGCCTTCCCGCACCACCATCCCGGCCCGGGCTCACCCTTCCTCGGCCATGGCGGTGGGTTATGGGTGGAGCCGAATCTTGAACGCACTGTAACACCAAGACAGAAAAAGAAAAGGACATCGGTTAACTAAAGGATTAAGTTTGGGCCCTGCTACCTCTCGCCAAACCCAGCAAAAAAGAAAAAGATGCCTGATCGTGCACCATAATCACCACCCTCGTCTCGCTCAACTCACCCCAAGCCTCCGCCTCCGCGCAACTCCGCGGCGGCAGGGAAAGAGACCGTGTGCGCCCGCTTGGCGGTATTTAAGGGCTGCCCAGGACCCCTGTGCGCATGCGCACTGCGGTCTTTGAAAGAGGTGACTCTGGAGGTGCCGGGCCTTGAGAATTTCTGTTTCCGGATTGATGAGATCTGAGACTAGGTCGCTGCTGCTCTGCCCATCACTGGGACGCGAGACAGGCAGCAACGCGGGCAGCCTCACATCGATCTTCCCCCGCCGGGGCGGGGCCTGCGGAGGCCCAGGGAGCACATTCTACGGAGCGCGAGGAGGGCCAAGCGCGCATGTGGGCTCGGCCTTGTGAGACCAAGACCCCCGGTTCCCTGGCTCGCTCACAACACCCGTTTTAACCCTTACCTCGTCGTATGGTGACTCCTGCCCGGCCGCGCAGCTGTGCCTTCCTTAGTGGGAACGCTCTCTGTTCGCCCGGCAGTCCCTCTGAACGTCCGTGAGCGTGCCGTTCCGTGGGCGATCGCCATCCGTGTGCGTGCGTGTGCGTAACACGAGCCAACACGTTTTCGCGACTTCTAAGCACATGGCAGATTGCACGCTCCCCGCGATCGTTAGTGAAGTGTAACCTTCCGCCAGGAGGCCGCTTTTGGCGGAAGGTTACACGAGAGGATGAGGGGAAAGGAAAGGTTTCTCGGTGTAGCTGGTCCTCCATGAAGTTCTTTTCTTCATTTACTTTTTTAACGCTGAATTGTCCCCTGAGCCCGTTGTCCCGCGCAGACAGGGATTGAGTAGGTGCCTTGCAAACACCTCCAATGTGGCAGCCGGGGCAGGGCCTGTGATGGCGCGGAAAGCGCAGCCGGAGAGCCCGGCATCCGTTTCCCGGCCCGACCGCCGCCGTCGGGAGGGGACTCCCGGGTCCCTCAACTCCGACTTTCCCCGGAGGCAGCAGTTGGAATTTTGCAAAGACAGGCCGTTCTCCTACCCACATTTTCCATGCAAATACCTGAAATACAGGCTAATTTAATCAGTACAGTCTTTTTTTTTTTTTCCTTTTGTTTTAAAGTCCTCTCCTGACCCGTCGCCAAGCCAGTCAGCAGCTGTTCGGCGACCGGTAGGTGCCAGCACCGCTGACACTGAGCAGCGTGCAGTTCCCGTCGGGCCGAGTGCCCGGCAGGGACAATGGTAACAGGATAAGGGTGCCAGGTCGAGTTAACCAGAATAGAGCATTTTGATAAGTTGTTATAACTCATTTTTAGCTTTTTGAAAGCTCTCAGATGTTCATTTTGCAAAGTGTCGCCCAGCCGGCGTGGCCTGGGTTGTGGGCTCGATCCCCGGCAGGGGGCGTGCAGGAGGCAGCCGGTCAGGGGTTCTCGTGTCTCCCTATTGTAGGTGTTGAATCTGCTCTGGCCGGTGGCGCAGTGGTTAGAGCCTCTGCCTGCGGGCGGAAGGGTGGCGTTAGATTCCAGTCAAGGGCTCTGACCTTGGTTTCAGGCTCAGCCTTGGTCCTGGCGGGTCCAGGGCTCATGCTGGAGGCAGCCAGTCCATGTGTCTCTTTCCCATCCATGTTTCTCTCTCTGTCTGACTCTCTCCCTCCCTTCCATTCTCTCTAAAAAAAAAAGTCGATGGAAAAAATATTCTGGGGTGAGGATTAACAACAACAAAAAAAGTATTGCACCTGCTTCCCATTCATAACTCATCCTAAAAAGGTGTCCACTTAATTCGTTGTTCATTTTTTTTTAAAGCTGCAGAGTTTATACAAATGATAAGATTTCTGCCACTGTGATGCTTGGGGTAGGATTAAGATTTGAGCCAGATATTAGTCTATGTAAAGGCCACAGGGGAGGCACAAAGTAGCATGGGGGTTGGGGAGAGGGGGTGATGGGGAAAGGTAGGAGAAAGAAAGACTTTTGACTTGCGGCAACATTTGAAAATAGGCTCAAAAGACAGAAACCTGAGAGGATCCCCACGGGAGGATGAGAGAAAAGGACGGTATTCCAAGTGGAGGAGGGACAGGGCAGAAGCGCTGACGCCGCCTCGGCCTGTTTGTAAGTTACCCGAACACATTTGTGTTTTTGAAAGTGGATGTGGCAAGGAGTATGCCAACAAGTTTTCCATTATCTAAAGCTCATACAAGTGAATATGCTAAACATATTAGTAGACTTCTCCCCCGCATCACCACCCTGCCCCTAAAACATATTATGGAGGAGGCGGGGAATTTGGTAAAGACTCGGGAAACATAAACGAGGAAAGCAGCCATTGCCAAAGAACATATTTATATAGGGGGGAAATGAATAAGTACCTTTCAGCTCATTCTGTGGTTGGGTTCTATCTTCTGGCAGCTCGTAATCTACTGAGACTCAGGTATCATAGGCCTATGCCTTGACATTTCACCTTATAAATATCTTTTCTATCAGTTGTAAACCTCCCTTCTTAGAACTGGAGCTACACTTTCCTTCCTTCCTTCCTTCCTTCCTTCCTTTCTTCTTTCTTTTTTTAAATCCTAGTTATAAAATGGGTTCTATTCCCAGAAATGAAGATAAAGGGCACTCTGGTGGTTTGAGGCTTCTTCTTTAATATAGATTCTCCTAGTTCGTGTTTAAGGTTACCTCTTCTCAATTTTAGATATAGCCAAAGGTGGAACACTACTAAATAGAAACTAATGACTAGTCAGTCTTATACCAGCAGATTATAATACCTACATAATGTGCACAAATGTGCATCTGAAATACATATGAAAAAATAAATTCTAAGGTTTGTTTTAGGAACAATAAATCATAGTAAATAATGTTGTTTAGCACTTTCTATGCACCAGTTAATGTGCTAAATTATTGTCATAGCTTTTCTTCCTTGATCATCTTTGAGACCTTATGTGGTAGTGTTGGTATTAGTCCCCTTTAACAAGTAAAGAAACCAAGGCCTAGAGAGTTGCCCAAAGTCTCATAGCCAGTAAATGTGGAAGCTGGTATTTGAGCCCAGTGGCCATCAAAGATCATGCTTCTAACCCTTCATATATTTGGACTAGAGGCCCAGTGCAAGAAATTCGTGCACGGGTAGGGTCCCTAGGCCTGGCCAGAGATCAGGGCCAATGGGGCCTTCCTTCATTCCACACCACCCCCTGGTGGTCAGCACACATTATAGCGAGCAATCACATTCCTGGTCTCCCTGTCGAACTCCCGAGGGACACTTTGCATATTAGCCGTGTGTGTGTGTGTGTGTGTGTGTGTGTGTGTGTGTGTGTGTATACACTGAGTCGCCAGATCATTATGACCGGCCAGATTATTATGACCACCCCATCAGGACTTCGTTGGGCCACCTTTTGCCTTCAATACTGCGGCGATTCTTCTTGGCATTGATTCCATGAGATGTTGAAAGGTGATGCGAGGAATCTGACACCATGCCTGATGAATAGCACTGTCCAGTTCTGTGAGATTTGATGGTTGTGGAACCAGCTGCCTGATGGCTCTTTTAACTTTGTCCCACAAATGCTCAATGGGATTGAAATCTGGTGATTGTGGGGGCCACCTAAGCAAGGTAAAGTCTCCCTCATGTTCTTGAAAGCACTCCTGCCCAATATGAGCACCATGGCATAGTGCATTGTGTTGTTGGAAGAAGCCATCTCCATTGGGATATGCCAGAGGTCCTCAAACTACGGCCCGCGGGTCACATGTGGCTCGCCGAAAACATTTATCTGGCCCGCCGGGTGTTTTTGCCGCTGCTGCCTGTCCTGCTTAGCAGCCAACTCATCCCAGGCCTGCAGTGCACATGTGTGGAATGTCTGAGGGACAGTGAACTGGCCCCCCGGTTTAAAAAGTTTGAGGACCTCTGGGATATTCCATCAACATCATAGATGAACTTGATCAGCAACCATACTTAGGTATGTTGTGCTATTCAGACGTTTATAATGATCTGGCCCTCTAGCAACTTCAGCGCGAAATGATAGCTAATTTGCCTACAAACATCAGGTGGTCATAGTAATCTGGCCACTCAGTGTGTGTATGTGTCTGTGTGTGTGTGTATATATATATGATTACCCAAATGTTAGAAAGAGAGCACTGAGAATTCAAGGAAAACTCAACATCTGATGTTGGTCAGTACATCTGGTTCTACCTTATTGTGCTAAAAAAAAGTTGTATAGGTGGAGAAAGGGAATATTGCAGTGTTAAGCAGAAAAAGAGGGAACAGTTGAAATTTGGTTTTCTCATCTAAGTATGCATGTTGTATTAGTTTGCTGGGCTTGCCATAAGGATCAAAAATTGGGTGGATTAAACAACAGAGATGTATTGTCTCTCAGTTCTGAAGGCAAGAAACCTATCATTAAGGTGTCAGCAGGATTACCCAAGAATATTTTTAAAAATTCTCAGTGAATGAATAGGAAAAATAGAAACTGTAAAAGAGGATACAAGATGAATATAAAATTAGTTTACTTTTATATACAACTAGAGGCCCGATGCACGAAATTCGTGCACTTGAGGGAGCCCTCAGCCTGGCCCGCACCCTCTTGCAGTCCGGGAGCCCTCAGGGGATGTCTGACTGACGGCTTAGGCCAGTGATGGCGAACCTATGACACACGTGTCAGAGGTGACACGCGAACTCATTTTTTTGGTTGATTTTTCTTTGTTAAATGGCATTTAAATATATAAAATAAATACCAAAAATATGTCTTTGTTTTACTATGGTTGCAAATATCAAAAAATTTCTATATGTGACACAGCACCAGAGTTAAGTTAGGGTTTTTCAAAATCCTGACACGCCGAGCTCAAAAGGTGTGCCATCACTGACTTAGGCCTACTCCCCCTGGGCAGGACATCCTTAGCACTGCTGCAGAGGCAGAAGAGGCTCCCACCACCACCATTGCGCTTGCCAGCCGTGAGCCTCGCTCAGGGCTTCTGGCTGAGCGGCGCTCCCCCATGGGAGTGCACTGACCACCAGGGGGCAGCTCCTGCATTGAGGATATCCCCCCTGGTGGTCAGTGTGCATCATAGTGACCGGTCGTTCCGCTATTCAGTTGATATGCATATTAGGCTTTTATTATATAGGATCAGCAAGTGATTTAAAAATTTAAATGTCAAAATTCCATTTTAATGGATTCTAAAACCAAGATATTTAGGAATAAATTTGACATGAAGCGTGTAATACATCTACAATGAAAACTGTAAAACATTTCTGAAAGAAATTAAAGAATATCAACATACATGGAGAGATAGATCATGTTCATTGATTTAAAAACTCAATATTGACTGGATGTCAGTTCTCCCTCAGTTGATCTATAGAGTCAACGAAATCGCAATAAGAATCCCACCAGGTATCTTGGATAAATTGAGAGATGATTCCAGCATTTCTACAGAAATTCAAAGGACCCAGAATATTCAGACTGCTTTTGAAAAAAGAACAAAGTTGGAGAATGTTCGCTACCTGACTTATGTGATGAATGCAAGTGAATGGAAGAAGCTGGTACTAATTAAAATCCCTCTGGTGGGGGGGGGCAGCATTCCAGTGAAGTGGGAAAAAGGTTCTAACTACAATGTCTTGTGCTTAACTCCACTGGCCTCACAGGCTGCAGATGGATGTCCAGTGATGGGGCCCAGGTATGAGTACTGGACCACTTCTGCGGTGTGATTTTAGGCATGTAGCCTCTTTGTGGTGTGTATAGTCCTCCTGATGATTCTATGTGCTACCAAATAATCAATGATAAATTTATTTTCTGCTTAAAATTGGCAAAAGTTGTTTCTTTTATTAGCAACAGGAATTTTATTAGCAACAGGCTGATACAAATACTAGGAAGAAAAATAAAGAAGGATGAAGGGACAAAGGGTGACTGAGGCTATATTTTGGATAAAGGGAAAAGAATGAACTTCTCTGAGGAAGTGCCATTTAAACAGAGACCATATTATTCCATTTTAGTTTGGAAAAAGAAAAGTGTTCCATATGTGTATATATGTCTTAGATGATGATAGAACAATGTGAATAGATCATCATGTCAGGATGATCATAGCTCCCAAAGATACGTCCACATCCCAATCTCTGGAACATGCAAATGTTAGCTTTTTTAGAAAAAGGATCCATGCAAATGTGATTAAATTAGAGATATTGAGATGAGAACTTCATTTTGGATTTTGGCTCAGTGAAATTAATATTGAACTTCTAGCCTTCAGTTCTGTATTATTTTAATCTACCAAGTTTGTGGTAAATTATTACAGCAGCCACAGAAAACTAATGCAATAATATATTCAACTATAACCCTCATCATCTGGAGGGAGGGACGGAAGTAGAGATTAGAAGTGGAGGGAGAGATAGGGATATGTATATATATGTCAATATTCTTTATGTAAATTAAAAATAAATGGACAGAAAACAAGAATGTAAATTTTATAAAAATATATACAAACAAAAAGATTTGTATTAAACATGCAAGAATGATTGCTGATGAAAATGGAGGTAGAGGGGAAGAGATGTCAATGGAAATGAAAAATTCAATTGAAAATTTGGATGATAAAGTTGGGGAAACTTCCTATAAGATAGAGCTAAATGAGAAAGAGATGAAAAGTAGACTAGAAAACAGTAATAAATTAGAGGGCCAGTCTAGGTGACCCCAACACCGCATAAGAAATAGTCCAGAACAAGAGAAAAAAAAAGGGAATCTAGACATCAAAGAAATTATTCAAGGAAATTCTCCTGTACAGTTTGATTTTAGATTGGAGAGAGAAGGTAGAGTAAAATGAAAATGGAGAACTTTACATAAAGATTCTGGAAGGTCACATTTGCTAGAGCTAATCCTTCTTTTTAGATAAAGATTCTGGAAGGTCACATTTGCTAGAGCTAATCCTTCTGTTTAGAATGGCTGTAAAGGCTCTTTTGACCAGCCCAGGAATCCTATATAATAAAAGCCTAATATGCTAAGTGTCCCGTCATTGGTCGTCCATTCAACCAATCAAAATGTAATATGCTAATGATATGCTAAGGCAGCTCAACTGCTCGCTATGATGTGCACTGACCACCAAGGGGCAGATGCTCTGACCGTTAGGTTATGAGAGGGGCTGGACACGCTCAGGAGCCCTCCTGCAGTCCCTCCCTGGCTGGCCAACCTTCCATGTCCCTTCCCGGCCCCAGTCATGCACCAGTGGGGTCCCTTGGCCTGGCCTGTGCCCTCTCGAAACCCGGGCTGAGGGACTTGGCCCCCTCCCCCCAGTGCACAACACCGGGCCTCTAGTTTTTACATAATCTTCAAGACCCAAGGTATCATCACAGCTTCAGGAAGCCATCCTGGACTCATTTAACCAAAGTAAACAGTTCTTCCAACATACATCATAGAACTCATTGCATTAGAATAAATTATTAATTAGTGTCTGTTTTATCTCCTAGAACAGCGGTTCTCAACCTGTGGGTCTCGACCCCTTTGACGGTCGAATGACCCTTTCACAGGGGTCACCTAAGACCATCCTGCATTTCAGATATTTACATTACGATTCATAACAGTAGCAAAATTACAGTTATGAAGTAGCAACGGAAATAATTTTATAGTTGGGGTCACAACATGAGGAACTGTATTTAAAGGGCCAGAAGGTTGAGAACCACTGTCCTAGAAAGAGGGATGCTATTTGAGGGCAGAAGCCAGTTGGGGCTCATTCATCTTTAAAGTCACAGTGGTGGTAACTCAATAGTCTTTTGTTTTATCTTGGAACAGTGGGTAAAGTGAAAACATTGGACACCTCTATTTTTGTGCCAGAAAGTTGAGGGCGAGTATAAGGTAACAACCATCACATTCATGTAGCAAACACTCCACACCTTATCACCAGTGCTCACAGCCGCCCTACAAGATAAGTATTATAATCCCAACTGTACAGGTGGAGAAACTGACCTTGCCACCCAGTCGCAAACAGCTAGTAAGTGCCCTGGATTGAAACGGGCATTTGGCCCCAAGTTCTTATTCCCAGGCACTCCACCCTGATTCCTCGACATTCATTACGGCTTTTGCAAACATTTTTTCCACTCTTTGTACTTCACATCAGTTCATTTATTTCCAGTTTACTAATCTCTGGCTTTCGTGATTATATCACTACACCATTTACCCATTGTGTAAAATAACCCACTACTTTTAAAAAGAGTCCGGCATGGCCTGCATGGTTCAGTGGTTGAGCGTGCACCTATGAAGGAGGTAAGGATTGGATTCCTGGTCAGGGCGCATGCCTGGGTGGGGCTCTGATCCCCAGTAGGGGGACTGCAGGAGGCAGAGGATTAATGCTTCTCTCTCTGTCTCCCTTCCTCTCTAAAACCAATAAAAATATATTTTTTAAAATAATAAATAAATAAATAAAAAGAGTCCGCATGAGCCCAATTTTCTAATTCACATTTGTGTCTTTCAGTTGAGGAACTCCGTCTTCTGTGTCCACATAAGCGTCCTTTCTTACTTTTAGTAGGAATACATTTTACTGATTGTAAAGTAGGGGGTTCTGCTATATGGACTATAGACTCGTCCTCCTTGTCTTATTTTTATTTGTATTTTTTCTTACACAGAACGAGAAAGTGCAGCATATCCCAGATGGTGGAGCGTGATAATAGCCTGTGTCTTTAAATAAAAAGAAAGGCCCTGCCCCGCCTCCAGGAGAGGCTGCTAGGAACTGCGGCGAGGCTGCTGGCGGACGATCGGGATGCCCGGCACCGCCGAGCAGTCTCCGCCCGCCTCCCGGGCGTCCGCTGGTCCTCTCCCGGGAGCCGGAGTCGCAGCGCTGGGACCCGGGAGCGGCGGCGCCGGAGTCCGCGCACCGCCCATGGACGCGCCCGGGGACCCGGAGGGCCCACCGCCCCCAGCAGGTGACGGAGAGCAGCGCGGCCCGGACGCGCCTCGGAGGCTTGGGGCTTGTGTCTTTCACTTGAATTAGCTGCGTTTGTTGCCGAGACAGTGGGGAAAGCTGGGACCTGGCTGTAGGGTTCGGACAGCGAACTTTAGCCCGCTTGGAAGGGGTTCCAGTTCGGGCACTGGAGCTGGTGTGGTCTCTGCTTTCTTCTCTAGCTCTGCGTTTACCGGCCGCGTTCACGATGCATTCTGCTAAGAAAGCATTACGTGTGGAGGCCCCACTGTTCCCAACTTCTTAACTTTCTCTCGGTTCCCTTTCTCAGCCACTACAAACATTTTACAAAGATTCCTAAGACTTCCTCATGCGGCACAGATTTTTTCCTCCTGCGCCGCAAAGACACACTGAAAAACTGAGCAAGCCAAACATGTTTTTCTTACTTAAGTTTCTTCTTCCTTTTTTCCTCCAAACCATTTAATTTAAAAATGGCTGCTAGATTTGCTGGGTGGGTATTTGAAATTGAGTAATTGACCTGGTGTCTTTAAGTCGAATGAAAATTTAGTCCTTGGAGTAAGTATTAAATTAATCACTGTGAAAGGTCAGTAATTGGTGTGAAAAAACAGTAGTGAGTTACAGATCTGTGGGATTTGGCTTATCCAGGAATGTCCCATTGTAATTTGCCAATTGAATTTTTTCGTTTGTTTTCTCCTTACTCTTCACTTAACGTCAGTACTGCCCTACAATGAATGCTTAATAAACAGCTAACTTGACACGCCTGGAACATTGAGTTCGTGTAACAAGTAAAGCTAGGAGCTAGAGAAATCACATTATACTTGAGAGCAGTACCCTTTGAAGGGTACCTTGTTCCCTGATCCTTCTTGAATTTATTTGAGGTGAAAGAAATAGGCCTTATGGTGAAGGCAAAACAGAGCAGATGGTTTGATAAATTCTATACTGAAATTCTAACAGGGAATACTGTGTCAATGAAAGTGATATGTTTTCAAAATTGCAGTAATGTACAAGGATTGTGTTACATGTGGTCACATGGGCTATATTGAAAATAGCCCTTAGCTCAGTAACTATTATCTTCAGAGTACATAGTCTGTGCACGGAAGTGCACATGTGTGTACATGTGTGTACATTAATCAGTAGTACATGCCTGTAATTGCAGTGTGTTTGCATTTAAGGTGATGACCCTGCAGCAAGTGCAAGAGAGACATCCAGCCGGCTTTCGAGAGAACAGCTTTTTGTCCTGATATCGGCAGCTTCCATGAACTTCGGCTGTATGATGTCCTATTCCATCCTTGGACCCTTTTTCCCTAAGGAGGTGAGACATTTTTATATCCTTATGAATTCTTCATTTTAAAAAGCCTTTTGAATTATTTAATTTTACAATATATAAAATGTAAAGATTTGCATATAGCAAAGATGAAGTAGAGAACTTTAGCCAACAGAAGACTTCTTATAGACTATTTGATGCCAGAAAAAGAAGATCCAGTCAAAAAGAACATCATCTTGGGAGGTAACTCACCTAAACATAATTGACCTTCTTTGCTTACTAGGTAGTTTAATTAACCTTTATTTGGTTTCTGCAGTTGAAAAAAAAAGGCTGCACTGCATAACTGAGATTTTAATGTTACTGTAAAAGGTCCTTGTTAAGACAGTAAAGGAAACCGTGGTCCATTTAAATTCCCTTTTCTGACTTGAATTTCTTGTGGCATCTAGAGGCAGTGTTTGCGCCATGGAAAAATTCTGATTAATCTTGACTAGGTCCTTCTAATCATAGCCTGTTCCATGGTGTTAGAGTCAATAGATCAGTGGTCGCCAACTTTTTGGACCTCACGGACCACCGGTTGGCAATTGCTGCATAGATAATGGCACAGACTCAAAATGAAAAACCCCTACAGCAGTAGTCCTCAACCTTCCTATTGCCACGACCCTTTAATACAGTTCCTCATGTTGTGGTGGCCCCCAATTTCATTGTTACAAATTGAACATAATTAAAGTATAGTGATTAATCACAAAAACATATGTAATTATATATGTGTTTTCCAATGGTCTTAGGCGACCCCTGTGAAAGGGTCGTTTGACCCCCAAAGGCGTCGCGACCCACAGGTTGAGAACCACTGCCCTAAAGGATCCACCTGGAATCTGGAGGTTGATTGGACAGAGTGTGACAGGAGTGGCCCTGGCTTGGCTGAGTGGAGATAACATGTCCACGTGTTTGACTTGGTGTTCTTTGCCCAAGCCTCAGTGCTCTG